TTAATGCATAGTTCATTGTGATGTTGAACAGAAATTTGAACAGATTAACCATAAAAATATAAAGATAGTATAAATGTTTATTGAAACACATGTGTAGGAATAGGTGCATGGGTTTCACACAAGAACTTAATTGCAATATTTTTTGTGACCATCAGCCACTACTTAACTATATTTATGAGGCTCTTTTGAAAAAAAAAAGTCACTATAGCACAGATATGATATTTAGTTACTGCTCTTTGGGGCACTTTGAAGAGCTTTATGTTTAAATTTCCTTAATTTCTTTGAAAAGATAATTCTCCTTAAAAAAAAAATAATCAGGTACATTTCATATAGAATATTTTTAAAACTGTTGTGTTGATTATTTTGTAGATTATACAAGACTGTCAGAATTTTTGGGCCATGCTAAATGGTGACTAAATTTTTAAACATTATTGATTTGTTCTTTCTTATCAGTAGAAGCAACTAAGAGATTGAGTGGGGAAACATAGGTTACCCATTCTTCTTCTGTAATGTCACTTAGAAATAATTTCAGTTACCTGAGCTTGGCAACCTCATTCTGTGTAAAACTCCTAAATTAACCCAGTCCAATTCTAGCAGTGAGTCCTTCAAATAAGCTGCCATCACCTAGGATATACAACTATGTGAACAGGTACAGAGAGTCAAGAAAGCCCTCTGCTCATGTTTTGCGCTTGCCAGGCAAAAGCCAGCTGCAGTTGAGAAGGCAAGTAACTGAGTCCATGTCAACCAGGCACTGAGCCACCAATAAGCTGTGCTGGAGCTCAGGGCTGTTCCCAAGCATTTGGACAGCTTCTGGACTATTGATGGCTCAGGCCAAGGAAGGCTGGAGGATGCGTGGCTTTCAGACCTCTTTTGAAGCAGCACACACAAAAGCAGATGAGAATAGGCTTTTCAACATCCCCAGGAGGTCCGCAGAGTGTAAGAGGCCAAAACTATTTTAGTTCTTTGAAAACAGAGCAAAAATGGAAGTCATCGCAGTAAGATGAACTTGTGGTCGCATTGAGGTTAATGACTGAATTCCACATAATGTGATGTCAGGGGAGGTTACTAGCACAAGGTGATATTTGTGTTTCTTGACACATGCACTACTAAATTACTTAGCTATAACATACCATTTTAATGGTCATGATTGTTTAAAGATTTATTTAAATTACTTTTATTTTTCAGTACCCTATTTTTTATTTTGATTGATAATTAACAAAATTCTGCTCTTACAAATACCCAGTGGCAACACTTTGGTTTTACAGATATTGTATGATAGCTTGTGCAACATAAAACTTGCCCTCTTTGGGCAGGGAATTTGACATATATATCAATTGACATTCTGAAATCTTTCTTCAGCATTTATACACATTATAGCAAATAGCAGCACATCAAAAAACTGTAATCTAATAGAATAAATTGCAGTTGTACAATCAGTCTTTTGGTAGAAACACAGTGCTCAGCTAGATATCATTTAATAGTTTGTTATGGACCTGAGTGACACATGTACGATTTAAAGCTGTATATAATCTCTAAAGTAATAGGATAGGAGTATGAACATAGTCTTTAGGTAGAGAATGAGTAACATATATCGTCAAAAGTCAGTTATTTACATGGAAATAAACTATAGGTAAAAATATGTATACGCTTAAGAGAACTACAATATAAAAAGGAAGTAATACATGTCACTATGTTATAGTAACTAAATTATAAATCCCTTTCATTGCTCATCAAAAGAAAACAAAAAGGAGAGTATTTTTTTTTTTTAATAAAGAAATGGAGTGTTTTACATTAGTTGCCATGTAATCTTAGTTGTATTACTATTCATCACAAAATAGTTCTGCATGGGAAATCTGAGAGGTACTAACTTTTGACAAGGTAAGGACTATAGGTGTAAACAGTAGTTGTATTAGATCACCTATAATAGTTGGAGAAAGCAGACAAAATTTGTTTGAGCACAAATCTGTTTGGGCACAAATTTGTTCCGGCCAAACAAATACTTTTTCATGTCTATTATGAACAGCAGACTTCAAGGTTTGCTTTAAATTCAAACAATTGCTCTGAGTAGCATATTCAAGTGATCTAATGAAAACATGAACCCCATTTTACAAACCTTGCCTTGCCCGTATCTTTTCACCACCACAGCTGCGACAACTCTACTGCTAAAGTTGTGTACAGGCAGGTGATTTCCAGGGGAAAAATAGGAATTCCTAAGTATTTCAGAAAATAAATGAATGCCAGTACAACTAAAAGCTTGAGGTTCTTCCCAGAGTTAGGCTTAACATCTACAAGGAGTAATGGATCAGGAAACAAGTTTTGTATAGCACTAAAGTTATGAGACAAACTTCTACTTAGGCTCTCAGCTTTATGTTATATCCTGCTTTATGACAGCTGGTTTTGTAAATAGATTGAGTTATACGTCCTCGAGTACTGACAGATATCTCAGCACTGTGACATCTTCTGAGCTTTGCTTTTGCCTTTCTGTAAGGGTGTCTTTGTTAATATTGATAAAGCTTCAACACAGTCTTTGTGGGGAAATTATCCAGAGTATCCCAATTTATGTTTACAACTAAATGACAAATAGCAGGTGCGTCCAGTGAGATCGTACTGGATTTTGTATTGCTTGTCTGCTTGGAAAGGCTGCCTCACCCCTCCTTCTTCTGCCAACACCAGGTCCCTGCCCTGTCAACATCCTAGCCTAATTCTGAAGGTACATTCTCTTTTGTTTCCTTTTCCAGTATCCTAAAGGCTATGTACACAATTAAAGAAGATGGTGGTGCTTCAGCCATTTATAGTCTTCAAGGCAAGTTACATAGTAAAGCTTCTTAAAAGTTTTTTATTGCTTACATTTCCAAAATAAGATTAATTCATGATATAATCACTCAGCATTTTGCAATCTCTTTTGCTACTGACCTTACCTACCTCTAAAGGAATTGAACTTATAATGAAAGATTGAAGTAAATGAATTCAATGCTGAGCTCCTCTTTTGTCCCTTTGTTCCTTTACATCGCACTCCTACTTTGTTATATTTTCATGTGTTATGAATGTGCGTTATCACAACTGTTTCAAGGTCACATGTTTTAGTAGCAGATATTAGAGTAGTTTCAGGACAGACGATAAAATGATGCCATTTTCCCGATTGAGGATATGGTTCAATATTGAGGGATATTTTCTGTTACAAGCAACTGGAGTTTGTATACATATAAACCCTTTCCATCCATTTAAACAAATATACACTGTTATATTTGCAGAAGAAATATTGTTATTATCAAAACATAGTAAAGTAATCAGTATTCCCATATAAATTGGATAAATCTAATAAAAAGTTAAAATGTGAAAAGAAAAGCGTTGTCAAATGATTAGATGACTGGTGACTGGTGTTTAAATTATGTCACATGGCACATTCATTAAAATTAATGTAGCTAATATAACCAAGGTCATTTTTTGCGACTATAGTTGTTAATTCTTTTAAAATTAAAGTATAAATGTCTAACTATTGCATAATACTTGCAAAGTCTTTGTTTTGCTTTAATCTGCTTTCCAGATCATATTGATTCCATCAATCATAATACATATTCATAATATTTATGTTTTCATCCTTTTATACAAGAAATCCTTCACTGTTGTACATACTACATTATGTATAGAAAAAGAATGCCTTAATATTAATAAAAATTATCTATAATGTCAAGGTCGAGTTACCATAAAATGTCATTTTAAGGTAACTCCACCCAAGACATCTACCATTAAGGAATAAGATAGGAATAATAAGTAATAGGGAAGTCATACATACAAGGTATTGTTAAGAAAAACACAAGGATCAGCATCCAACAAAAAACCCAAACCTATAAAACAAAGAAGTCAGTAGACCATTTTTCATTGTACTTGCTTAAAACTTTTCCAAAGCAAGAAGTTTTACAGCTCCAGAAGACACATAACAGTATCCCACCTATAACCAGGTACACAGTCTCTCCAGAGAGTCTGATATGAAGAGGAATGAGACACTACAGGTTTGTAATTACAGTCTTTGCATCACATGAACTTTCTAGGTGTGGAAACACTAAATCAGCCAAGACACCAAGGAACCCAGAAGGTTGTTTCTAATTTAACTGTTTAGCAAAGTACGACCATGCGGGTTGGCTTTCTGATTTAGACCAAGAGTAGGCACACCCTGACAAATGCTTAAGATGAACTGAACTGTATTATTCATCATATGTAACACAGATTTAATGGGTTTTAATGACCATCTTCTTATAATAAAAATATATTTATGTGATGTCTGTGAACAAGTATCGTCATAGCAAAACCTGGTGTTTATTTATACAGGAAAAGTCTTGACCCTACTGCATGTGTTCCCTCCAGGAGAAAGAAAGTAAACATGGCTGGTATCCTTTACATAAAAAACCAAAAAGATTTAAAAAATCTGGAAAAAACCCCACACTTCTCTTTGGCTTTCATTCTTCCTCATTCCTTTGTCCAATTCTTGTCTCATGTACAATCAAAGTGATTAACATACAAGGAAAATCTCAGGGCAAATGTGATCAGCTGATAGCAGAGACTTGCTAAGTCAGTGCTATTCAGATTTAAAACTTACATCAAGCTGTGGACTGGCCCTGGACAGATTATCTCCAGAGAGTCTCTGTCGAACAAGATCATGCCTTTTGCTGTGCCTGGTGGTTTAGACTACAATTCTTTGAGAACAGAAAAATGCATACCTCAGAATGTGGCTGTTATTTCATCCTGAATGCTTTCTATAACTGTAGCCTCCTTTATCACTGCCAAAGCTTTACATCTCTCACAGAACCAGGAGACAAACTTTAGAAAAGGTCAGCCTGTACTTTAGGATACTTCCCCTTACCTTGATGTCCATGAAATATTTACTTTAAAAATATACCTACCTCATTTAATCAGTGCAAAAAGATTTACATTTATTTTCATTACTTATACATACATTAAAGTATACTGATGGCATTAAAAAAATAAAGAAAATCATGTAATACCTTTACTTTTACCTATGGATTTGGTGAAATGGTTCCATGAAGAAAGCATTTCCAGACAAAAAGAGAATAAAGAAGAGGAGAGAAACAACAGTAAGAGTCATGAGTATATGTAAATGCAATAGTATCTGAACATGAAGAGACAAAGTATAAGGTAAGTGTCTGGAGACAAATGGAGATGCAATCAGTGTCATATTAGGGATTTAGTTTATTTTTTTCCAGTCATGTACATGCAGAGAAACACAGAAATAACCCATGCTCAGATAAGAAAGAGTGACACAAAAGTAACATGGACAATGGCTTAAGAAGAAGAAAATCACCAAATTTGTTAGGTTGCAAAATTGTACTCTCAGCATTCCAGAAGCCAGGAGCAGGTGCTTTCTGCACATTTCCAATCAGCCATGCATTAATGTAAATGGACTCTTCAATGTGTACAATGTGACAAGCTGAGTATCTTCTTTCAGGAGCTATCTGAAGAATGCTCTTGTGCTTCGTTTATCTTTTAGAGAATCACCCGTAATTGTATTTTTTGATAAATACATAAAATTTTCTTAATCACCTTCTTATTTCTCTCACCTCTTTTCAGTTATTATATTGTGAGAGGGGGACTTGAGGAGGCAGGAAGGACAAAAGCTTACGGAGCAAACAAACAAACAAAAAAAAAATGAAATAAGAAAAGATGTGACTAAAACCACGTGTTTATTTGCAGCCAAAGACAGCTTTCAAGCATTTGCCCATCGTTTGCAGGGATGGATTCAAAGCAGCTACAGAACAAGAAGAAACAATGAAAGCAGAGTGGAAAAGGAACAGAGCCCATACCTTGGTCGCCCATCATCAGGTGCGCCAGACCTTGAAGGGAAACAAGAGCACAGTCAGCAATGAACAAGGGAGCACGGGAAGGTGGTGTTGTCACAGTGACAAAAATGTTTTGTGACAGGCATCTGTTTCCTATGAGATGTCTGTATCACAGAGGGAAATCAAAGAGCATTTTTCAACCACTGGTTGGAATGCTTTGGGCTATGAGTAACAGAACTGCAATTCAAACACTGGGTGCTGCTTTATTCTGTATTTCTTCTGTGCAGGAGTTGGGATGACAGAAAATAATAAAATGCTTTCAAATCCAACCAATTCCTTTAATATTCCATCTGTCTTTATTGCGTTTTGATTATATTGCTTTGAACACTTTGCTGGGAGGACTTCCTGTCCTCTACTTCTGAAATGATGTTAAAAACCTGGAGAAGTGTAAACCTGAAAAATGGGCTGGGTCTGATCTTTTTCCCCTCATAAAAATGAGCATTTCAGGTAATTAAATAAAATTTCTTCGTCACATTGAGATGATAATGCAAGGGATGTCTCCTTATTTGTGTGAAACGTGAGAGTAGAATGAATTTTTTCCAGAGAAGACACATTATTACATATGCAATATAAAATACATAGCAATAAAGAAAATGTGACAGCTTCTGAAGCTACTTCATAAATCTGTGATGAATAGATTTTGCTTTATATTTGTATTGTGAGATGAAATCCAATCATACCAGTATAGGTCTAGTGACATTTCAAAACAGATATCCATAATGATGATCACTCAACCAGAACCAAATTTCATTACTCTTTAACCAAAAATATTCAGCTTTTTTAATTCATGATAATAAAATGATACACATTATTCTGAGAATAACGTGATGTAGGGAGAACATTTTTCTAGAAATATGAAGGTTTTTCACATTTTATGTCTGGTTTAAAAAACAGGTTTATTCTTGTTGAACTTGGCTGGTTTAGGATCCATTTTAGAAGTTAGTAATTGCTCATGTGTTAAATGTGCTCCTCTTCTCCAACAACTATAAAAAGAGATAAATTATTTTCTTATTTGCAATTAATTAAAATTAATTCACACAAAGAAGGTGTGCAATAAAATATCCTGCTCTTTATTGGAAAGCAGACTTCCTAGAGAGTTCCTGTGATTTCTAATTCACAAAGAAAATTAGGTGCACAAATGACTCATAGTACTTGGGGGGACTTCAAAGAAGATATTCCCGTCTGCAGTCAGTCTTAAAGTATTCATATCTTATCAGTTCCAGATCTCAAGTGATGTCCCAAACAGACTAACAACGGTTTTGCTGAATTAGCGCTTTTTAACATCACCCTTTTTAGATGTGTAGTTAAACTGAAGGGCCTGATGTGCCCCATCTCTTGTGCAATAGATTCTGTTTCAAAATGCAGCGCCTTGCTGCTGGTGGGATCACCTGGGGTTTACAGCAATGTAGATGAAAGCAGAGCATGATCCTTAAGGGATGCCTGCTTAAGCATTGCTTGGGAAACATCACACAGCTGTGCTGCAGTTAGCAGCTTGTGAAAGAGAGTAGAAATGTTTCCATGCGTGTTCTTTCTCTATAAGTGTTGCTGCAACTAAGAGAGGCTGAAAACACAAAGTATGAAGACCCACGGTCAAGCTCCATCCTCTTAATTCTGAATGTCCCTGCATGGTTTTCTGGAAGTATTTGTCTCTTCATGCAGTTATTGAACTTGTCTTTTGGCACGTTAATTGTTGTATTTTAGCTTATCATTTGGATTTTAACTTGTCGTGTTGGCAACTACAGTAAGAAATCTGAGACTTTTGACTTGGCCTTAACTGTATTCTATGGAGGGAAGGTGAAACTAGTGTAACATTACAACATCTTTTTCCTTAATAAAATGGTGACTTTTCAGCAGCTACTTTACGTGAGCTCTTTCAGCTCTTAGGAGGTAAGAAGCAAATCGCTGTCATGTCTCCTAGGGGAATGCAAAGAAGGTAATGTCTTACTAGCTTGCATTTAAATATGATCTTTATAGCTATAAGGACCTAAACAAAAGGCTTAGCTTCAGGAGATTACCACTACTTGATAGCTATTATTTTTGCTAAAATGGTATGTGAGATTGGTCAGTTGTAAATACATGATTCTTATATAATTTGAAAAAAAAAAAGTAAATGGCAGAAGTGCCTCTTGAAAATATCATAGAAACCACTTGAATTTTAAGAGTCACTTACAGCGCTGTTCAACTAAAAAAGGAAGTCAAGTGAATGCAAAAAAAACCCTCACTGCTCAAACCAAACATCTATCAATTAAAAAATGTAGTACTAGTCCTCAAGACACTGTATTTTGTTTGCCTCTGTATGTTACTTTATCTGTGAAGCAGGAAGGTTACTTATACTTACTTGCTAAAAGCACATAATGATACCTACCTTATTTTATACTTTCGCAATCTATGGATGAAGGCTATGGAAGAGTGAAGAATAACTATTACTGTACCTGTGCAATCCACAGAGTGGTTTAAAATGATACAGATAAATCTACCATGATAGCAATCACTGCTAGATTTTCAAAATGACAGTCTGCTTATAACAGAGAATACCACAATGGATAGTCACAGAAGGTTCCAGCCTTCACTAGCCGTGTACAGGTATTCCATACATTGAAAATATTCATTTGTGCACCATTAACTTCATAAGCAGAATGATAAAAGCCTTTTCTTTGTGAATTAGGAATTCAAGATTTAGTAGGACTGTCTCCTGTGTGATCCACTCTATCTTTATACTGAACTTGGCTCCAAGAGGAGAGAGGTAAGGGGCAAAGGATGGGATAGTGGAAGCAGATATGAAGATAGGATATTTTAAAAATTTGGTGTGTGAGTTCCATGCAGAGCACAGGCCAAAACAAAATTTAAACATGGTAAACCTGCAGTAAACATGTTTCAACCCTAGCACAATATAGTAAAAGGAATAAAATGAAGTCTTTTCGTACCAGCAATATATATAAATTTAACTCTGTGAATATGAAATCCTTCTGTTTTCTTATGTAGCCTAACTTATAGAGATGCTCAGATATCTCAGAAATCAAAGCAGAAAAAATATAGCCTGGTTTCAAGATTGTCCTTTGGATGCACATTCTATGCTTCCGTTCTTCACATATACATCCTTTGTAACTTTAATGTATGCATAAGTATCCAGACCTGTATTGGAATAAATTTAAGGTTGAAGTTTTATGAATTAGATTCAGGTGAAGTCTGGATTAACAGTTACCCAGGCTTTATCTTGTACTGCTGTGCATAAATGAATATGTGAAATGAAATTGAACCTCCTTATCTATTTATACTGATCCTAATTCACATTTGAGGCTCGTGTTAACACCAGTAAGAATTTTGTGCACAGATCAAATATAAGATTAGGTTTTTATTTCTAGGCTTTTATGTTTTTCAGTTAGAATTCCTATCCCAGCGTTGTTGAATAGATTTTTATTTCGCAATGAAAAGGAAATTGTATTGATATGTATGTGTGTGAATGCACACAATTAAAGCATCAGAATTGTTTAAATTTTCTTTCTCCTACTGGTAACGTATATTTTAATAAAATTGCACAGCATTGTGTATGTGCTACATCTGAGCACCTCTCTTCGCCCTTGTATACAGTAGCATAGAGAAACGCAGAATGGATACTTCCAGGCATTTTTAATAAGATGCCACTTAACAGGCAGGCAGTGGCCCACGGTGACTTGAATCCTGAATTAACTCAGGTCCCACAGTGGCTTACTGCAGGTCCTGGGTCTGAGCCGTGCCAGGGCAGTCACTTTGCATGAGTTAGCTTACAAAGTCCCTGATTAAAAAATAGTTTTAAAAGTATTGGAAAAAAATGAAATAAAAGGTATTGCTCAGTTTAGATAGATAGATAAACTCATTTTTCAAATAGTAATTGTTTATCCAGTATGCAAAGGTTCAGGCCAGAGAGACTTTTAAAAGCACTTGTACAGTAAAAAAAAAAAGTGTACCTGCACCTTTTGGCTTACAAGCAAAAAGAAAGTATTGATTCCCAGCAATAACTGATCTGTGAAGCATATTCTGTACCTTTAGAACTATGAAATATATGCACGCAACATGTTTTACCAGCTAATAGGCATACTTACCAATTTTCAGGCTAGACGGCATTGTGCTTTAGTTTCCACTGCCCTGTGCCATACTTTCTTTAAAGGGACTTAATTACATACCAACATTATCATTAAAATCGTACGCTGCTGCTTTCACAATGTTGAAAAGGCAGAGTGCATTATGTTGAAAAGTTAGACAGAAAAACTTTTCCTAAAACTTCGTGCTGTAAAGGATAATACAGTAAGCAAGATTTGTAGTATTAAAGAGAAAAGCGCTTTCCATTTTCCTAAGCAATTAAAATATAGGTATTTAACATGCATTACATTCTTATGAGGAGGATTTATGCTCCATACTAATGAAACAAAGAGTTTCTTGAACTGTTTTTCATACAGAACATGAGAAGAAATCAGTCTTTCTGCAAATCTCCTGAATGATTTTGAAGGGTGATATCAGTCATATGAGTATAAATCCGATTGTTTAAGAGGGAATATTCTGGAATGACACCAATAAGGCCAAGATTAAAATGGAACTTTGCTTGTGTTCTGTATGGAAAAAGAAATCACACTTATCTAATAAACTTGTATACCTTTATGGCTAAAAAAGTGCAACTTACCGTACCAAATGATATGCGTACTTTTATAACATTAAGCAGAAGGGAAAAAACCACTAAACAGAAGGGAAAAACAAGAGCTTAGGAAAATAAGGTAGAAAGCACCCACCTTCCACATAGTTGTCTTCTGTAAGCACATAACAGGGAAGGAGAGAAAAGGAAAACATTCATTAAGCAGCATGCAGACTGGAACTTGCCATTGCATGTCTTCATCATGCAAGGCATCAAACAACATGCAAGTGCTCCATTGCTACAATCCAGAGGGAAAAACAAAAGCACCAGGGAAGCAGTGTTTCTTCTATGTAACAAAATTTATGTGATATGAAATAAAACAATACTGTTTCCAAAGTGCAAAAATTGCAGAGGATTTACTGCAGCTCTTTCTAAGTTCAATTATTATTAGTCATTAATCAGAGGATCTTCTTGTAAGACTTTTATAACTATATATTTTAAAGCCATCAGTCATTTGTGGTAGGGATTCTAAGTTAATTTACTTCCATTTAATTCCCATTCTGAATTTTCCTCAATGAACTGTATAAAGTAGGCTATTTTAAACAGATAGAATGAGATAAGTTAAGTTTTAGAATATGCTGTGAAGGTGTTACCCCAGGCAGCACAGCTGATCTGCACTCATTACCAAGGCATTTGCTCTGGTCATTTGGTCAGATCTCCGAATCCAGTGTGGAACAACTGTCACCTAAACTGGGTGGAATAACTTAGAATCGTAGGATCACGTCTCTCAGCATTTGTCAGCATCAGCAACTTGCACATCTTAAAAAAATCAATCCATTCTCTGCCTAGTACAGCTCGCAAAGGCCACAGCAATCTCAGGCATGGGTTCTGCCCCCGGGTTAGATCAAAGGGCATTTTGCCCAAGTAAAGGCTGCTGTCAACAAGCAACAATTTGGCCTTTTATCCCCAGCCCAACATCAATATGGGGCACAGGAAAGAAGGTTCCCCCGAAGCCTACAGAGTGAGAGGGGACTAGGAATTGAGCCTCAGGTGATGAAGTAGACAGAATTTAAAGCTAAGAAAGGGGCTCAGTGTCCTAGTACTCATGCTATTGTCTATAGTCCTCAGCTCCTCCACCAGGCAGGTGATTTTGGGAGACATGTCTCTGTTGCCCATTATTATTTTGACTGAGGAGAGGATAGAAGAGAGTACAAAGATATCTCGGGGGAGAGAGAAAATGGGAAAGGTAAAATAACAAAGGAAAACCAACACAGAAGTCAAGGAGATGGACGGTGCGAAACCAACAAAGAAATGGGGAAGGGTGACAACAGAGCAGTCTGACTGCTTGGGAGATCTCTTCCTGCAGTTTGTGCTGTTTCCACCAACACTCGCTGAAGAACGAGCACTCAGAAGAAATTGCAAATTTAAGGCCAATCCTGTCATTGCAGGTGATTTCTCAGAGAGTCTTCCTATAGGAAAATACCTTTTCATGTGGCCATTAAGAAATGTGATCTAAACTAATTTGAATATATTGTAAACCAGGAGTCAATAAAATGAGTTACACAGAACTGGGCTCAATGAGAACTCTTAAGCACAGCAATTTCCTGCCAGAATGTGTCACTTTTCATAATGAAAAGCCTTTATAAGTTGATGCCACAAAACACTGAAAAATCTCATCATAACTAGACAGTATTCCAATAAATAATTTGAAAAGTTTGCCACTTTAGAAATAATAACTATAAACAATGAATACTAAGGGTTTAAGTGTCTGGTTTTTGTTGTAATACTCACAGGTCAGACCACATAAAATTATTTGACTTAAGGTATTACAAATCACCTTTTCCATGCACACACTTTGAATTTAACCTCTAAAGTCTCACTGCCTGAAATGTTAGTTTTTTATGAAGGTGCAAAGGGTACATACTGTTTCATGCATTTAGGAAAGTAAGAGGCTGAAAAGAAAAAAAATATTAAAAGCAGTGTGCCTGTTGTGAGTAAATACCTGAAGATCAACAAATTGAATAAAGTTCACTGAGAAAATGAAAAGCACCCAATTTCACAAGATCAAGATATTATGTTCTATACGCAGTGCAAATTGCAGTGATATTTGGGCTATTTGAAATAGCTGCTTATAGTTAAACTTCTCTGGAAGACCCTTCTTCCTTTAACTGCATACAGTAATTTCCTTTCTTTAAGTACAAAGCCGCCTAAACTTACTGGAAAATAAATTAGCTATTTCAGTTGTAGTGTAACTTCAGGCTCCTTCACCTCGTCCTGGTTACCGCAGCACTGGTGTATTGCAATACCGATATCGCAATGCCATCCTTTTTGGTGTCCATACTCAGCTTAATGCGATTGCTTAAAACCAACATGTGAACTTGCTAAAGGGCCAGTTCTGTTGGTCGTGATGTCAGAGTCAAAGGGAGAGTTCTGAAAATGACATCACAGGCAGCATCAGATGATTAAACTCATCTGGTTACAAGGTTTAGCATATTTTGGTTTATATCATGGGCCCTATTCTTAGCAGTGATTGGTATGTCTTTTTTGATGACTCTGTCACTGGAAAGATTTACACTAGCTGAGAAGCTTCCCCTAACTGTCTGATTGATTAAACTTTTAAGTGATACTAAATTAAACTGTCAAAACATTTTGAATTAGATAAAATTGAAAGTGTTGAATTCCTGCTCTGTGAATAAAACAATGTATATAGCCAAACCCCTATATACTAGTAAACAGCAATGAAAATTCATTCCTCCATATGCTTTTGTCATGGTAAGTTAAACCATCTTAAACAGTTTTGCAGTCTAAGAGAAAAATTAGTTCAGCTTCTTTATGGTACTTTACAAGGTATTTACATTAGATCAGTGTTGAGCACTATTATTTATTTAAAGTGGGGTTTTTTTGTGATGGCTGATATATTTCCATATCACTAACATTTTGTTTGACTTTCCTGACTCCCATTTTCTTGGCAAGGCCTATTCTTCTATGCAGAGACTAAGAAGCCAGAAGACCCAAATTCTAGCTTTGCTTTTTATTAATTTTGCTTACTCCAGCAACTCTTAAAAACAAAAGAAGGGGGGAAACTCTTTGAAAGCCATGTATATTATCAATGTCTTTATTTTGCAGTTGGAGGGAACAAAATTTTCCTCATTTGTATCAGGAGTAAATGTATTTCTGTCATTACAGTTGCACTGGTATAAGATTCATTTACCTGGAGGAGAGTAGAGCCGTATTACACATTTCTGTCACTGCTGATGATTTAGTCACCTGTAGTCTGAATTTAGCCACATTTACATCCATCCACCCTGGGGGACCTTATTGTCTACTGAGTAGCTCTGTTACCATCAATGGAACCTGAGACTTTCAAGACCCCAAATGCCATCTCCTAGCTTCTGTTGGCATTGGCACAGAAGGACTCTTAGCCTTTTCTGAGCCAGCTGATCATACTGAAGATTTTCACCAAGGCACAGCCCAGGTGTGAGACAAGGGGCTAAAAGGGACTGTCAATGCAACAGCAGAGGAGGAGAACTGTCTTACAGCCTCCACGAGCAACCGGATGACTGGCCAGACAGGTAACTTTCTCTTCATCATTCTGACTTCTAGTAGATGTGAAAAGTCCTCTGTTTTCATGTTGCACTGAACTGCTCACTTGAAGAACTAGACAGGTCTTCATTCACTGCAGACACTTGTTTCCTAGACCTTATGCCATCCCCACCAATAGCAATACTAAATTGCACTGCTAATTTCTGTGTCTACAACCTAATTCTGTTGGCCAAATTCTGCTCTCAGCACTACTGGTGTAATCTGTTGATTGTACGTATCGAGCCAAATATTCAGTTGATTTAAATCTGATGTGACACAGTTGAAATCTGTAGAACTATACAACTTACACAGGCTGTGAATCTGGCTTGTTATCCTCAGATGAATTGTCTCAGGCTGTCTCTACTGAGCTGAGAGCAGAATCTGCTCCACCCTTTTTGCAGCAAAAGTCCAACCAATTCTAATTATTTTAGCATATTACTGTGATTCAGTGATATAAAAATGGGAATCATGTTTTTATAGGATATTTTTATTAATTTGAGAATCATGTTAATATTTGGTGATGTTTCATGGAAACCTTGATTTTTTTAAAAAAATAAGTGACTGCTTATATACATTTTTTCTTCTGCTAGAATATTTATACCTTAACCCCACACAGAGCACAATATTTGTCCTGACAATTATATAAGAACAGTATTTTCATGAAAAACAGATGAAATAGTACATTAGTATTTTGAAATTACAGAAATAGTACTCCAGAAATAATGTAATAAGAAATAGCATATTAGAAGTGGCATTTTTATAGGTTTTATTTCCTTATAAAAATTATAGTTCAAAATCACATTTGGCAACAATGAAGGGTATAATATACCACAGACATAGTTTATGAAATTTCATAAGATATTCAATAGTATGAGTAGTGGGGAAGTAGCCTGAAATAAAGCTTATTTTTATGCAGATGCCTTGCAATAAAAATGATGGCCACAAATTTAAGATGTGGTATTTTAAAGATGAAAAATGCATAGGTATACTTCTCTATAAATTTATCTACTTAAAAATACTGTAATGGAAAGTGTCATTTCAAGAGGTAGCTTTTTCTGTGGGACTGAACCCACCATCTCTTGGATAGTGTAACCTGTTCCATCAGTTTCTCAAATTGTAGAGAAATTTATTTAACATGTGAATCAAAAGAAAATATTTGGAAAGGATATGAAAACATGAAGTATGTTGTAAAGTATGTTGCAAAGCATGAACAGTCATAGTCTCAGTAATGATGAAATAAAGCAATACATTGAAAATCTGTGGCTATTAGCATTGGTCTTCTCAAGTGCTGTATATCTGACAAATTCCATTAGGATTATTTGCACTTCTTTGAAATGTACTTTTGAAAACCACTGTAAATATTGATTGTAATCATTGACTGTAATTATGAATAATTAGAAATGTATTATAAAGATACCTAGTACAGAACTCTGATTCTGTTGCAGCCTTCTTGCTTGAATATTGAGTAAATAGGGAAGCAGCATTTCCTACAGCTGGGCCTTGTGGAACAAAATTTGGGATTCATTCACAAAATCTGCAAATCCACCAGAATCTAGGGAAGAGGGCCCAGGAGTTCCTACACTTCCCCATGGC